GCCACTGTGGGAAGTCATTTGGAGCCCTGGCCTCTTCAACCTGTAAGTGTAGCCTTACTGTAAATCGCCACTGTGGAGTCATGTGGAGCCCGTGCCTCATTCCAAACTGTAAGCGTACTTCAGTGTAAATGCCCACTGTGAAGCATGTGAGCCCTGCCTCTCGCAAACCTGTAAGCGTACCTCAATGTAAATGCCACTGATGGAGTCATGTGGAGGCCTGGCCGTCTTCCAACCTTAGAGCGTGCCTCTTCCAACCTGTAAATGCCACTCGTGGAGTCAATGTGGAGCCCTTCCTTTTCCAACTTGTAAGCGTGCCTCAGCGTAAATGATGGCCACGTGAGTCATGTGGAAGGGTCTCTCTCTTCAACAGACTTAAGTGTATCGCTTACTGTAAATGCCACGTGCAGTCATGTAGCGCCGGCGCAGGGCGTCAAGTTCTATTTTCCATATCCCTATTTCCTCCTCATTTTCTGGACAATTCCTATCTTTTTCCCTATTTTTTGAGGGCTTTTCATTTTTCATGAATACCAGATTGTATGTATCCTTCTCAGAAATGCAGGAATTTACACTTTCAGGTACCCAATTTTCAAAAATGTACTTACTCTTAAAATTATACGTGAATATACTCTTTACTATCACAGATTTTATTTCAGTAAAGTTGTTTCTCAGTTGATGTGGTATGTTATACATGTTACATGTACGTTCATAAAAATTGTAAACATAATTAAAGGGAGTAGCCTCATATATGCAAGCTACCCTATGTACTAAATTAATACCAATATTTCATAGCATTATTTGTGTCGATACGCGGGTATCGTTTTTGTGATAACAATTGTGATTTTTATACATATTAAAAAGCTGCGTTACAACTTAAGGTATTTGTAATTGCGGGTCCTGAGGAAATCTTTGATCTGAGGCTGATGTGCTTAGTATCTAAACTTAGGTGCTTAGATTTGTTCTACCATGAAAACAGGCACATGTTGGGTGCTTATGCATGTAGAATCTGGCAGATAATTTAAACTTGCAATTTCTCTTTAGAAACCTTAAAAATTTACCTATGATGCAGCCATTCAAATATATTTTAATTAGAAATAAACAAAAAACAACAATGTGGTGATTCGAGATGGCTATAGGGGTTTGGAGGCGCATCTAATGAAACATATTCCTCATTTAACATATTTGTGTCTTTATAGTAAAAAATTTATTGTCACATCTTTTGAATAATCTTATATCCATGTCATGTATCAGTCTTTATTTTTAATCAATTAAATGCACATACTCATTTTGGAGGAGTCTACATGTAACTGGGTGCTTACTTGCATGTCAGCTGCTTATCAATTTTAACATGCATTTCTCATTAAATCCTCAATATGTTCGGCATGTGATGTAACTGCCAAAAATATGTATATTTAATAAAAACATTTGTCGGTGGATCGGATTGGCGTAGGGTGTTGGGAGGCACTAACGCAAAAAATATTCCTTATTTAACATATATCTTCTCACCAAATTATATTTTCCTCCATTTTTTCACATCTGAAATTCCTATTTTCCTATTTTTGAGGCATCACTTGTCAACTTGACTAGCGCTTTTCCTCTCCCAACCTTTTCCTTGTTTAGTTTACGCCAGCAGAGTAAACGTTGCTGCTACTGGCATTCTGTGGATTCAAGTAGACCCCTTGTTCCCCCAACCTTTTCCTTGTTTAGTTTACGCCAGCAGAGTAAGCGTTGCTGCTAATGTGGAGGCATTCTGTGGATTCAAGTCCACCCCTTCCTCCCCCAACCTTTTCCTTGTTTAGTTACGGCCAGCAGAGGAAACGTTGCTGCCATGTGAGGCATTCTGTGATATTAAGTAAACCCTTCGCTCCGCGCCACCCCTTTTCCTTGTAGTTTACCGGCCCATCAGAGTAACGTTGCGCCATCTGCATTCTGTGGATTCAAGTAAACCCCTTCCTCCCCCAACCTTTTCCTTGTTTAGTTTACGCCAGCAGAGTAAACGTTGCTGCCACTGTGTCAGCATTAAAGTAACTGCTTAATGTGTGAGCGTGAATTTGTGTGAGCATGAGCGGATTGTCGTGAAACGTGTGGCAACGGGATGCGTCGAACCCTAATGTAGAGCGTACCGCTTTGGTGCTTACTTAGTTTGTGCTGCCAGTATACACAGTGTGCAACTGAGTGAAAGCGCCAGCTTGACGCCTCAGCGTAACCTAAGTCTAACTTGCCTCAGCGAAAACCCTAAGTCTAACTGCCTCAGTGCGAAACCTTAAAGCTGACTGCCTGAGCGAATGTTGCGAGAGCTGTGTCGTTACGATGCGAACATGCGCTAACACGTCTTTGGCGTATACGTAATTCCTCACTGCAGATATGCACCAGCTCATTGGCGTAATTCTTCGCTGCAGATATGCACCCGCTCATTGAGAAAGGCAAGATCAAACATGGACACGGCGCAATGTCACTGTTCGTCGGATTGAAGGGCGGCACTAAGGAGTTGGGGTTGTCAAAGGTCAACATCTGGGCTTACCTAGGTGAATGCAGCATCACTCATTGGTTTACCGCTCGCAACTCTCTTCTTCTCTCTTTCTCTCTTGCTCCTGCTCTCTCATCTCCTCTCTCTCTCCTCTTCTCTCTCTCTCTCTCATCTGCCTCTCTCTCTCTCTTGCTCTCTCTTTCTCCTCATCTCTCTCTACTCTCTCTCATCTCTCTGCTTCTCTCCTCTCTCTCTCCTCTCATCCTTACATCTCTCTCTTCTTCTCTCTCTCTTTCTTCTCTCCTCTCTCCTCTCTCTCTCCTCAATCTCCGTCGTCTCCTTCTCTCTCTCTCTTACTTTGAAACGGAATTCATGATTTTCTCAAACGGAAAAGGCAATTTTTTGAAACGGAAAATCACTGTCCCTACAGAATGTCGCCATGCTGTACATACGGGGTGAGGGTTGTCAAACGCTGCACACCGCACGCACGCACGCACGCACGCACGCGAGCGGAGAATGCTGCGCCACCACGCCACGGCACTGTGTAGCTGAATAGAAGAGTTGAGGAGACAAATGGAAATATCGATTTTGCGCAACGTTTCCTGGTTCCAGGTGATTACATAGCTTTTCCTCCGTAGTCTGTTTGTGTTGTGTCCATTAGGGCGGCGTTGTTAGCACGAATGTCAGTGTTTATTAATGTGTGTTCCCAATGGGACGGTGCGCAGGTAAATATGTATTCAACTAGTTACGAATAGCTGCACACATGACAAACGAGTGCAAAACGTGCACCAAATTTAATTTGTTCTAAAATAGGTTGAAAATAAATGGTTGTGTTGAATGATTATTCTCACCTGACGAAGTCTTCACGCGTTTTTATAGTCAAGGTGCGTGTCTGGGTCGAGAAGTCTAAACCTCCGAACTAGGCAACCTTCTTAAGCTTTCGCCCTTCCCTACCATGGAATATTCCCTAACCCGCAGCCTTTCCCTAACCCACAACCTTCCCTACCCACAACCTTTCCCTAACCTGCAACCTTTGCCTAACCCGCAACCTTGCCTACTCGCAACCTTCCCCTAACCCACAACCTCCCCCTAACCCGCAACCTTTCCCTAACCCGCAACCTTGCCTACCCGCAACCTTCCCCTAACCCGCTAACCCCCTATTACCTAAAAAAATAAATAAAAAATGAAGACCTTCCCCTAACCCGCACCCATTTATAATCCTCATAGGATGATTACGTGCCCGTTTTAATTTTAATTAACTGACGATTGCGCTTTTGCCTAGCGATGTCACAGTTGATAGCGGATGTTAAACTTCTTCATGGTGAAGTATGTGTACATAGTGGGATTTGGTGTGGTGTTTGCGTTATGGGTTCAAAAGTGCGGACACGACGACAGCTAGGAGTGAGGTCGAATCAAGAACATGTATCGATCGTCACGCCACTACACTAACCTTGGTACCTAGGTAAAAAAATAAATTCCCAGTTCCTTAACTAAATTCGCAATTTCGGCTTTCCCGCGTCTCAGTCAACTTAATAATAATGGTCCAATCTGGTGTCCGGAAAATAACGGCCACCATCACTCATTCTAATGGAACACCGCAAACAATATTTGCCAGGCTGAATACATGCGGTGAAATAAAGCGCATATGGTTTTTGTCACGGGCATTATATAATAGCATGTGTTCGTAGGTAAATGGAAATGTGCACTAATAGCACATTGAATAGCCGGGTGAATAGTACACAGCAATAGCGGATACCAAAGTAAACGCTCTCTCTCTCTCTATTTATCTCGCTCTTTCTTTCTCTCGCTCTTTCTTTCTCTCTCTCTCTCTCTCTCTCTCTCTCTCTCTCTCTCTCTCTCTCTCTCTCGTCTTCTCTCGTCGTTATCTTTCTCTCGCCTCTCTTTGTTCTCCGCTGCTTCTCCATCATCTCTCTTCTCCTCTCTCTCCTTTCTCGCTCTCTCTTTGTCTTTCTTTCTTCTCTCTCTCTCTCGCTTGCTCTCGTTTTCACTCTTTCTCTTTCTCTTTCTCTCGCCTCTTCTTCTCTCTTTTCTCTCTTTGCTCACTGGTCTCTGTCTCTTCTCCTCTCTCCTCTCTCTCTTCTCTCTCTCTCTCTCTCTCCTCTCTCTCTCTCTTGTCTCTCGCTCTTTCTCTCTCTCATCTCTCTCTATTCTCTCTCTCTCTTTCTCTCTCTTTCTCTTCCTCTCTCTCTTTCTCTCTCTCTTTTCTCTCTCTCTTTCTTCTCTCGCTCTCTCGCTCTCTCTCTCGCTGTTCTTCCGCCGCCCCGCCCGCGTCTTATTAGCAGCGCTAGCTCGTAGCTCCATGCGCAGCGAGCAGCGAGCTAGCTTACCACCAGCAGCAGCAGTAGCAGAACTAGTAGGAGCCGAGCAGCACGCAGCGGCCGCAGCTAGCAAAGCAGCAGCCAGTAGCGCAGTAGCAGCAGGCAGCAGTGGGGGATAACAGCCTGTCGGCTGCTGTCGCTGCTGCGCGTGTTTGCGGATGCATTACCTGTCGCGGATCCGTCGTCCTGGGTGAATGCCATTCTTGGTGATAAAACAGCGGTCAGGTGGTGTGCCGCGCATGCGCACCAACGAAGGCGGTTTGTTTCTGGGTGGCAGCGCTGCTTGCAGCAGCGCGCGCTACTGGAGGCAGTAACATCCAGTGATTCTCCAGCCGGCATCTCGAGGCAGACTGTAGTGATGACTCACTGCTATCTTCAAGGCTGTCGGTCACACCTCAGTTTCCCCTGTTATTACAGGAGAGACTGAGTGATACACTGCTATCTCAGTTGTTCGGCGACACTCAGTTTCCCGCTGCGTTCTCGGGAGAGACTGAGTGATACGACGTTGGAAACGTGAACAGTGCGGCGAGTACTCCGCGCCGCAGAAGAAACTGAAACAAGGAGCTGGATGCGAATAGAGAGAGATTTAACACTGGAAATCTCCTAGCTGCTGTGGAGAGAGGCAAAAGCTACAAGAGCACGGGCAGACAACATCCTTCCCCCGGTAAAATGCAACATTCAAGGTCATTCTTCAGTGTTGGAATGCCGTCCATGTGAGATTCTGCGAGGGGAGGTGAGATAGACGGCTACGACGAGGAATTGGGGGGGTCCCCAGTCGCGGGGCGGCCGGTTATGCGCCACATGCACGGGCGGGTGCACGCGACGGCGACTGCCCGCGCATAGAGATGACGACTGGCGGCGGAGTGTCGCCACTGGCGATGCGCTACACAGGTCCATGCTGCCGCTCGTCACGCCCGCCGGCGGATGCTTCGCCGTGCGGGTGAGCGCCCCTCGCGCGGCGCGAGCGTCCTCATCGCCGATGGATCACCGTTTCCATCTCGGCGTTCGCTCATGCGTCTGCCGGTTGCAGTTCGGCCGTTATGATGGCACTTCAGCCTGGTATCAGCTGTTCATGATTGCTGTACGCATCCAGGCTCTTCCCTGGCGGTAGAAGCCTGGCCCCTTACACGATCGTTCATGTGCGTTCAGTCGCGCGCACCTTCGGGCCTACTACGCGCGCTGGAGCAAGGACGCTAAGCGTCTGCTATCCGTGCCTGCCGTTCTCGACAACAACGTCAGATCCGCGCCGGGTGTTACGCGAAGCATAGCTTCCTCTGCCTGCAGGGGGCGCTGAATTCGCTCGTGGACCGTTGGCGACCGGACGGCGGGACGAGCGTTCATTGAGGGCCGCGCATAGGCGCTCTTCTTATCCGCTGCGACTTGTCCATAATTGACGAGCTATCCGATGGCCGTTCGTCGGCGCCACCATCGCACTGACGCCTCGCAGCTACGTTGTATCCCACGCTGCCGCTCGTCTTCCTTCATCACCCTCTTCGAGGTACACGCCGAGCGTTGTGCGCGGCTGGGAAGCGCCACCTGGCGGACGCGCAGTGCGCAAACAACGCGAGGCTCGTCGAGGAAGTGGCGGCACCGATGCGACGCCCAGCCACTCGGCGCAGGTTGGCTGCATCTCCTGACCTCGTCCGCGGTACAGACCGACGAAGCGCTTCGGTCGCCCGCTGTTCGTGTTCGCGACGGCTCGCCACAATCTGCGTCTACCTCGTGCTGGCGACGTTACCGGTCGTCTTCGTATACATCAGCGAGTTTTCGGTCAATGCGCACATTTCTCGCCGTCTTCTTGTCTGTTGCCGCACGTATACTCTTTCTGCGCGTTGATCACGGGGAGTCGGATAGTCGAGCAGGTGGTCGGCGTGCGTACGTGCGTGGCGTGCGTGCGAGCGTGCGTGTTGTTCGTGCGTTCGTTGTGCGGTGCGTTGCCCTGCGGCTGCACGCGGTGTTATGTGTGCGTAGCTCCGGTGTTGTATGTGTGGTGTCTGTGCGTGTATATGTGACTTGTGTGTGTGTGTGTGTGTGTGTGTGTGTGTGGTTGTCGTGTGTCGTGTTGTGTATGGTGGGTGATCAGTGTGTGTGTGATGGGTGTGCTTTGTGTGGTGTGTGTTGTGTGCTGATGTGCCCGCTGTGCCTGGTGAGTGCTGTCTGTGTGTATGCGTGCGGATTGCATCCGCGTGTGTGACACAGACGAGCAGGGGGAGACGAGCTATTCTCCTCCGTGGTTTGTCTGTTGAGAGAGGATTCTCTCTGCTGCTCTTGCTACGCACTCTCGCTAGGCTGCCGATCGGAGATGATGTGCATCGGATGGAGTGAGACGCAGATTGAATGGTGGCGCCGCCCAGCGAATGAATGAAGCGGTACACTGAAAATAGTCTGGCTGTGGTGACAGACACCGTGGCGTGGATGTGTAACGTTGTAACATGAAAACGTCTCTCTATCGTTAATTCTAATATTTGGACTGGAGTTTAATTATACATTGCTGAATCTAGAAGGTCAAATGTTAGTCTTCGAGTAGATTTACGGCGCTATTTTAAACGGCTATGCATATTATTGTTTAATTGTAAAACGCATCAGTCGACATTCCTACTATTCATGTGTATCTTACAAAATTTAATGCAGTGAACCGGAGTAGTTTTAACGTGTTAATTCACGATAGGGAAGACCTTCGCATGTCTTTCTTGTAGCACGAGTGTCAGTTTATAGAAGT